TATAATTATTTTTTATATTTAAGTTTTTACAAAAGATTACATTGATATTATATTATATTTTCTCTCTCAAATAATTGGGTTTTATTTTGTTGTTTTATGTATATTATGCATTTATTTTTAAATTCATTCAATGTAATGGATTCTTTGATTTCATTTGGTAGTTCATTATACAGTTTCAATCCATTGTAGTATACACTTTTCTTTAATTTTTCGTAATTTACTTTTGGTATTCTGAAATCTACTCTATTTCTTGTATTCATAATGTAACTGTTTCTATTATATACAAAATTTTCACTCAAAATAGGTGGTAAAAGTTGATGAGCCATCTTATTGAGCATTGAATTCTGAAAAAGAAGAATTTGGATAAATGCTATTTATTAGTGGCAATAGGCAGAAAACGCGAAAAGTTGAAAATGGTCAGGCAAAAAAGGAGAAAGCATATTTTGCAATCGTTGATCGGATTATAATTATAGTGCTCTGCCATGGATCACGAAAACCATGCACCGTAACTTCTAAATTGGCATCGCTTTTGTTCCTCGATAAAGTCAGAGCTGCCATTGAACAGTCCATGGCCCTATGTATCAATGGTTTCGAGATTATGTTGAGAATCAGGACACCGAGAATTGATTCTGTTACCCACTACTTTGGAAATCTCACGAGGTTTTTTTTATCAACATTATGAACATAATGTCATGAAAAATCAAAAAGAACATGATCAAAAAAGATTGCGTAATATTGTAAGATTGAAGGCATTCCAACAAAACTATTTCAACCGGTTGAATTCGACGAACAAGATATCGAAAATGCAGTGAAATGGGGAATAAAATGATATGATTCAACAAGAAGTGATGCTTATCGTTTGGCCAGACGAAATCGATAGCTGGATTCGGTGCGAGACATTGGCGACTTACCAACTGACGATGGTATCGCCAAATTCACCAAAGATAAAGATACATTAAGCTGATCCTCAAATTCAACTTGGCAAATCTGAAGGGGAATATGAATTTTATACTGCAGAAACGTTACAACACCGCAACGCATTAAAAATATATGATATTTGAATAAAAATATGAATAAAAATATCTCATAGTAATCTCTGCAATCCAGAAAAGCATTCCGATTTGAAAACGGCACATTTTTCTTAAACGTCACACAAAAACATACCAATTCCGAATTGGCACACAAAAATTAAAATTCTCTACCAATTTGAAAATGGCGCGTTTTTACAGCGCGAAAAACTTCGAATTTTTGCATATCGTCTTATTTCAACTGTGATTTAAATCAATTGATTTACAAATCGAAAATTCAAATAAATTAAATTATTTTAATTGCTACAAATCAAATAAAACAAATGATTTTATTTGAATTACACTAACATTTTAAATCAAATCATTTGACTTATTCGATTTGTAGCAATCACAATAACACATTGGCGTGTGATTCGATCTGTTGATTTACAAATCAATTGATTTTAAATCCTCGAACCCTGTTTTATTTCACGGTGGATTCATTTGTAAAAGTAAAGAAAAACACATTTTTGTGTTTGACTGATCCAACGAGGGACAAAATGAATAATGTGAAAACGGGAAATGTATAATATTCATAGCGATATTATAGATGTTCTGACATGCACGTACTTTTATTCGAACAAACACACACAATGAAAGTTTGCATGACAATTGCACTTCTTCTCACATGATCTGTTTGTATTTCTAATATTTTCAGAGGTAGAATAAACTAAAAATGAATGGTAAATTCCCCTTCGACTGTCAGTTGTTTTTCCCTATTTAACCCTTTATCACGCATTGGTTCCTAAAGTTACCAGATACGTCAAAAGTCATAACTACGAATTCACTGAATATTTTTGTATGCTTGTTTGAGAACAAATGTTAGAATTGAACCAGCTTTCGTTTGATACCTAACTCGTAACAATTTGTCAGCTGTATAGAACATTTTTTGTGTTTATGTACTGCTGTATAAAATGCGAAATTATAGCGAAATTCCAAATTTTTCATCATCTTGTGGGTTTTTACATTCTTTCCAATTGTGAAATTATGTAAAAATTATTAATAGGACCGAAACACATCAATGAACTGTACAGCGATTTGACACTTCCCAAGAGAACGGCCAATATATTCATACGCTCTTTATACACCAAAAATACACTGCAATATGTATTCACTCCTATTGGACGCCTATCGAATATATTTTCTAGTGTATATTCGGCGTATTCTTCAGCGTAAAACATATTGAAGCGGCATCTGATGGCCATGAATGCATTCATTGATTGAATATATTTCAGTATGTTTTACGCTGAAGAATACGCCGAATATACACTAGAAAATATATTCGTTTGGCGTCCAATAGGCATGAATATATATATGTAGGGGAGGACGGGGCTTTTCGACGCACTTTTCTTAACTATTTAAAATCTCCCGACCTAGTCATGCAATCTGACTCATTGTTTTATCACATGATTGGTATTGTCAATGCGATTGGTGTGTGACACACCCAAAAAAAATTCTAACCAATTTCCTAACCACTATTTTCTTGGGGAAACCGACGCACTATACGGGGCAAACCGACGCACCCGTATAGAAGCAAAAAAATGTAATTCTTATCACTTTATTACCTACTTATTACTGTAATAAGATGACCTATTACTTATTACTGTAATAAGATGACCTATTACTTATTACTGTAATAAGATAGACTTATCACTTATTACTCATCCTATTACTTTGTAATAAGTCCATCTTATTACAGTAATAAAATGAAAGTAATAAGTAATAAGCTACTTCTATACGCACCCCTTCTTTAACCGTATTTTAACTCATTTATCTCAAAATTAAGTAATCGAGTAAACTCTATTATGTTTTACGATGTTCATGAATATCAACAAGATATGATGTATTATTTGAGAAATGGATGAAAATTGAAATTAGTGTAGCAGTATTTTTCTTGGCTGCAGTGGGTGATATCTTCACCCCGACGACAGTTTTTCATATAATGGGCGTCTCTCTCCAATTGTATCTTTTTTAATAAGTTGAGAGCAGTCAGAATGGAATCAAGATCCTGGCTGAAATATACAGAACATGAAAAAGTGGTCGAGGAATCCAAAGAATTTGTTGCTCCGTAGAGTCTATGAGATACTGATGGCGACAAGCGATACTGACCAAATGTGAAGGACAAAATGACGAAACTAACGATATATAACACTTGAAGCGGTTTTTGAGAAATCTTAAATGCACGTAGTACACACATATCTCTATAGCTGAAATATCGTTCCGATGGCATCTAGCGTATTTACATTCTTTGATTGTCTTCAAACCAATGGGTTATGTATGAGCTAATTGCTATGGCTATTGTATTGAAATATCATCCAAGACACAAACCAAAGTTCATGTCCCACTTATTTCATGTAGCCGATGTATCAGCAGCACGTTATACCCGACGTCAGCGCCACATATTTGAAGTCTTAGGCTTGCGATATACCAAAGGATTCATTCAAAACGAAACTGCAGATAAAGATTCAAAATGGAACTCCGCAAAGGGAAATACTAAAAACTGCACATGCTACTCTCAGAATTCAAAGGAGGTAAACTAAAAAACATACGGTGTAAAACATCAAATTACCCACTGTGTTTTCGCCATTGTAGGCAAAATATCAGTTGACCTCCATTGTATTGAAATTGTCGGCGAAATGTCATTTTACCTACATTTTTAATACAATGGACTCCACAAATATTAACAATGTAGGTAAAATGACATTTCGCCGACAATT